GGTCGCGCGCAGGCCGCGCCAGGTCGCGCCAGGCCAGCCAGACCGGTGCCCGGGGGGGGACCAACTTGGTAAGTTGTTGCCTGGGGGCTTGCCTAATTGTCACGAGGTGCCACATGTCGCAATTTCACTAGAGGGCCAAATCTGCCCTCATCAGATACCATTTATTTGTAATGGTCGCAGATACCATCACAACTGCAATATGCACAGTCCATCTATCAACTTTCAATTAATCAAAAACTTCTCTCAATGTATCTTTCTACTAACCCCTCTAAAATTAGTTCGGTCATTACTCATTAGCAAATTTAACAAATGCATTGGATTTATAATAACTGCCAGTGATAAGAACAAATGCATTGAATTCATCTCTTACCTAAAGAATTTGCAACTGTTTTTGAACAATTGTATCTTACCCCCCACCCCCTCCAAAAAAATATATCTATATATAATAACTGCCAGTGATAAGTATAGTTAGGAATAGTGACCAACAAACGGAAACAGAAAGCAGGGTGAATGGCGAGGTCCCTGCATTAGGTGAAACCATGGTTTTTAAAAATGAATCGGTGACCGAACTGGTCAGGGGTCCCATTATCGGTTTAAACGGTCCAACCAAATGACCGGCTCATTTTGACAAAAAAATAAAATATTTTAAAGAAATTAATAAAAATTTGAAAAAACGGTCAAAACCATTCAAACAGTTAACTAGACAGTTCAGCGGTTTGCTGACCAAAATCAACGGTTTTAGGAAAAAAACGGTTTGGGGGAAAATGGAACCGGTCAGGTGACCGGTTCCTGATTTTTCCGGTCCAACCATCCAGTCCAATCTGGTTTTGAAAACCATGGGTGAAACAACAGGAGAGAGGGTGAGACTTCGAAAAGAAGAAAACGAAAAGCAAAAATGGGTTTTGCAAGGTTACCACATTTCCCCACCCAAAGTCTAATTTGTATTTTTTTAACTAAAAAACTGAAAAATAGAAAGTAGCGCCAGCTTTTTTGGGTCCATTCCTAGCTTCAACGTGGCACAAAGTTATGCACTCTGGGTAGGAATTCATGCCTAGACTAAGGATGGCAAATTTGCAGAAATTTTAAGGTATCCAACCTGTTCCAACCTTAATAGGACCCATTTATCAAAACCCTATAGGGTTTGGGATATATTTGTGTTTTGACCTAAGGGTACTGGCACCCAAACCCAATTATACTTAACGTGGATAAGCCTATCTATCTATCTTGTATCCCATTATAGGCATCTTTAGCATGGCATAACACACTATTTCTTTTTAAGAGGAGCATCACATTTTACTTAGTGATGTAAAATCGGGTGCAAGGTTCAAAGTATCTAAAAATGCAAAGAATATTGAAGATGCAGTTAAAAGAAATGTATTTGGATTTTGGATATCCTTTGGATATGGATAGATACAATGGAAAATTTAAGATACAAATGGATACATCATGAAAATTTAAATATCTATATCTATACCATGGTTTTTAAAACCGACCTGGTGACCAAACCGGTCAAGGGTCCGGTTATCGGGTCGAACAGTCCAACCGTTCGAACCAAACACTCAACCCGTTCTAACAAGAAAATAAAAAAATTCAAAAAATTCAAAAAAAAAAAAAAAAACAATCAAAACCATTCGAACGGTTCAAATGGTTAATCACCCAGTCCAACAGTTCACTGACCAAAATCAACGGTTTTGGGGGGAATCCGATTTTTGGGGAAAATGGAACCGGTGACCGATTCCTAGTTTTTCTGATCCGGTCCGATTTTGAAAACCATGATCTATACTACCTATAGAAGAGCGATTGTCCCTTCTTTATGGAATTTTCATTGGATGTTCTATTAACACACAATGGGCATAAAGAGGGCATATATGTCCTTTACTCTCATTTTAGAAATTGCCCACTTATAACTGTTGAGAAACTATCCATGTGCAAACGCACGTACATATTTACTAATATATTAAAAATATATGAATTTTATATAATCTACAGCTCTAAAATCTCTATACATAAGAAATATGTATTTTAATAGTTTATAACTTTATCTGAAGTGTAATTTCACAATAAAAAATGGAATGTATAAATCATCCGAATGACCCAAATAAACATTGATATACACATATATGCATATCTTAACAAACTAATACTCATGTAAGATGTTACAAAATTTAAAATAAACAAAGTTTAATAAATAATGGTGTTATATGTAATTGAAAAAGTACATTCACCTAAGAAGTTAGTTGTCAAGAAAAAGTCTCATTATAAAGACAAAAGCATTCAGAGTTGATTTGATTATGGGATTTATGACTAGAAACCTTGGTATTTGCAAATAAATATTTTTGTACTTTAATACGCATGGATATAACATGGTTTAATATCACTGCTAATTTAACAAGATATCATGAAGTAGCCTAGTGGTTAAAAATTTAAAATACTCATCTTTCAAATAAACCTAGATTTAAATCCTTCTAATATCTCAATTCTATATAATACTGGTTTTAAATATACTTAAATGAAATTAATTGATTTATTTATGAGATGAAGATAATTAATGAAGTGAATTAATGTTATAAGTGGCGTGTTAAATAAGGTTAGTAATGGAGTCAATTATGAAAAATGAAATGTTAATAGAGTCAATTATGATAATTTAATGGATATTAATTAAGGTAATTAAATTTCAATTTTAAATTTGAAAAATAATAACAATAATAAGATATGTCATATAATAATCAGGTGGGACGAAACGAATTTGGAAAATTAGGAGAAAAAGGTAAACAAGGGTACCTAAAGAGGTTTGGGAATAGAAAGGGCAATTTCAGGTACCATACCCATACCCATTGCCATTTCTATCCAGACTGGGCAGCCAAAGTTTTTCTGATAGACCCCAGGCTTAGCCATCAGCATTAAAAACGTGACAACCGATAGACCCCAGGTTCAGCCATCATCAAAATATCGATATGATATCAAAACATCAATTGTTCATTTCGATTGAGCAATTCAAAATTAAAAAGCATGTAGCTTGCACTAAATACAAATACCACTGTCGTATGGAAACCAAGTCGGAAATGATAGTATCTTCACCAGTATAGGTTTTACATCTGCAAAGTGCAATAGATGAACGAACAAAAACAGATCCGAAGGCTTTATTTAGGGGAAGCAACTCATTCCCAAATCTACAACCAGCAAAAAGCAACTAACTAATGAAGGTTGTGGAACAATCTACATCCAGAATGAGTCTATTAAGTATACGCTTAACTACCATAAGAAGAATGGGTTGCGAAACAATTGCAGTAGACCATACAAGAACAAAGGGCAATAAACCTCTCTTAGTCTGCTCTGGATTGGCCAGCTCGTGAGGAGAGGATGATTCCAACAATGAGTCCATAGAGGGCAAGGGCTTCAGCAAAGATAAGGATAAGAATCATCCCAACGAAGAGCTTTGGTTGCTGTGCATTTGCTCTGCAAAAATACAACCAATCAGAAGCCTGAATTTCTGATATCCATAAGATCACCAAAAATCACTAATGGAGCAACATTGGGTAATGACCATTTTATGAAACCACTCCTAAAAGGTCTTCCAACCTTGTTTAATGTGGCAACAGACAAGGAAGGCTTGGTAGCCAACTCTTATATGCTAGCTGACAACAGCAGACCTCCTTACTCTACTACAAAACCAGCATTTAAATCTACAAGCACAGGAAGCAAGAATTCAGAAGTGGAATAAGTCAGGAGTGTTCTCAGTTAAATCTTTTTACAACTTTCTAGTGGGAGAGCAAGAAGTCCCTTTTCCTAGCAAGGCCATTTGGGGAACAGCAGCTCCCTCAAAAGTCAAGTTTTTTACCTGGGTGGCAGCTTCGTAGAGATGCCTTTCCCAAGAAATGCTATTGAAGAAAGGTTTTATTTGCAATGATTTGAATTTTTGCCTTTGCAATGTGGAGGTTGAGTCTTCAAGACATCTGTTCTTACATTGCAAGTTTAGTAGAAAAGTTTGAATCACTTTTTGAAGGTCCTGAACCTGAGCTGGTGCATGCCCGCTTCAATGAAAGCTCTGCTAGAGGAATGGCACATTTCTGGGTTGACCAAGAAAGGGGAAGTGTGCGACCTCCATTCCATTGGCAATCCTGTGGACTGTTTGGAAAGAGAGGAACAATAGAATTTTTTAGCACACAGCTTCTTCTGAAGCCAAGCTCATCAATTTGGCTTTAGGGGTTACTAAAGATTGGTTGTCTATACATGATGTTTTTAAAGGAGATACTCTTGATTGTTCTTTTTTGAGGGTGGCGGGTGGCCTTTTTTTGAGGTCCTACTTGGCAGTTTCTTGTACAGCTTCTCATTGTACACAGGACTTTTTTTTTTGCTTTAAAACAACCATACTTTACCTTTTGTCAAAAAAAATTATTAAGCAAATTTTTTGAGAAGTATAGAACACTTCATGTCATGCCTCAGTGTTCACTGAAAGCTAAAATTTTTGCATTAATAATATGATACTCTAACCAGTTGATCTATAAGTCTTTTGAAGAATTGTATTTCTTTCAAAAATTAAATTTGCATATTCTTGTCTATTAATTTTTTCCTTGTTTCACTTCATTGGGGTGTGTGCCTTACTTTGCACCTTATGCCTCAATCTCTAAAAACCCTTGGACTTGGTTGTATTTTTCACTTTTAAAATGATGATTGCACAAAAAACATTTAAAGAAGACCACTATATAACCTCCTAATAGCAATTGCTTGAAACATTTCCAAGCTTTTCAAAGTGACATGCTATTACAATTGACAATTCACAAGTTTCCAATGATAGTAAATAATATGTTTCCAAAATTTTCTACATTTTTATATTTCTGTCTATAAAAAGTATTCTTATTTGTCACTCTTAATTTTGTTTAATATGATGAATATATGATATTAGAGATGTGCCCAAATGTTTTCTACATCTTTTTTTGTATTTTCTATACACATTTGTGTTTTCATCTTTCTTATTCCCTTTTTATTATTATTTAATATTTAATATTTAATTATGACATCAAAGTTGAATTGTTGACTCGCCATCAAACAGGAAAACAACTCCATTTTTGTATTGGTTTTAAATTTGTCTTTTATTTCTATCATCAATAAAAACAATTATTATTTTTTTTCAAAACGGTAACTTTCATTGATTCTTTAAGAAACTTAGTACAACTGTCACCTTCAAAAAACAAGGTGACTCCCCATCAAATTACAAACAGGCCCAAAAAAAGTTCTGCCTACTAACTCCTTGCTTTGCTAAAGTATCAATCATTGCATTGGCTGATCTCTTAGTCCATTTAAACCTGACTTCATGCTCCCTTGTTAGTTGCATAATCTCCCTTACAGGTTGTCTAAGGGACCAGGTGCCTAAGCTATTTGTTTGCATCCAACCTATTACCGGTTTCGAGTCTAAAAACAATTATTATTTGTCACACTTATTTTTCTTTGATATGGTTAATTCATATAGGATTCAATGAACAAATGAGAATTAATACCCTAAATATATGACTTAATGAGAGGGAATTGAATGAGGAGAAATGCAGTAGTTCTTTGCAAGAAGTGGTACCCCTTGTGAAAATGATCATCCAAAAGTGATTGAAGCAAAGGATTATCAAGGTCTTCTACTGGATTTACATCTTAATATTGAAAATATCAAGTTAGAAGGAGATGTGCAATTAGTAATTCCACTCCTGTTGGACTCTTCGTTAGACGTCCCTTGGTGGTTGCATACCTTGGTCGCAGATTGCAGGAGGTTACTATGTAGGTTTCGAGATCTGGTTGTCTCCCTCATTCCACGAACAAGAAACAGAGTTGCACACTTAATTTCAAACTTGCTTGTAACCTCTATCGAGTTACTACGTGGTCTAATGAACCTAATTGTATTAATTCTGTTTTGTTGGAAAATATAATGCATTGGCGCCTTCAGGAATTTCAAAAAAATTTACACTTAATGCCCTCAAAATTAGAGAGGGACCAAATTCAGGAATAGGGGTATTCTAGTCAATAATAGGATCCAATGAATATTAATGGGAGTTAATACCTTAAATATAAGACTTAATGAGAGGGATTTGAATGAAGAGAAAAGTGGTTATTCAAATTACATTTTTGTCCTTAAAATTTTTTTTTGATAACTTTTTTTTGTCATTACAATTTAGAGAGCAACCAAACTAAAACATTGTGGTATTTTAGTCAATTAAAAGTTTCACACTTTTAATAATAGTAAGTATAGATTTGTGTGCACTTGAGAGAGCGAGAGAGAGAATTACCTCATTATCTGAAACACATTGATGAAGCAAGTTAAAGTATTAGTTCAGTAATGTTTTAAAACACGGAGGCATGACGCAAGGCGTTCCACTACCTAGAGGCGTGAGGCGTAGTTCAAAACGCAAGAGGCGTAAGCCTCCCAAACACAAAGAGGCATAAGCCTCCTTAAGAGGAGGGGGTTAGGATGAAGGGGAGGAGGATGAAGAGGAAGGGGGGATCTCATTTTTTCTTTATTTTTAATAAAAATATTTTATATTAACAAGAATAAAGATGCATAACATTAGTTGAAAGGGAAGTCTTGTTGAAGCGGAGGCGAGGCAAAGCAGAACAAGACCCCCCTAACTCAAAAATAAACAAATTGGGCTGCATTGAAAAGGGGGCGGGGGTCTGGGAGGGGCTTTGCCCCCCAGCCGAAGGGGCAAGGGGCAAACCACTTTCTTTCCCCTTATCTTTTCTTCCCTTTTCTTTCCTTTTCTCTTTTTTTCTTCTCTTTCTTTTTCTTTCCCTTCCCTTTCTTTTCCATTCCCTTCCTTTCCTTTTTTTTATTTTGTCTTTTTTATATAAGATGTGCATGAGGCGTATGCCTCTTGCACCTGAAGTGTACGCCTCAGAGGTGTTAGCGCCTCTAGCATACGCCCCAGGGTGTTTTGGGAGCGCCTCGTAGGCCATCTCGCACAACATAACTTGTTTGGTTTCCGTGTTGGTCATGGAGCCTCTGTAATATTTCTTGGGCCTCAACGTTCGTGGCTATGGCTTGGTGAATGTCATCAAAAAAAACAACCCATTGCTAGGAAAGCACCATGAACAGAGAGAGAGCCAGTTTGGACCACCGGGAAAGTGCATCAACGGCTGTGTTGAAGTATCAGGTTTGTATTGGATTGTAAATTCAAACCACAATAGCTTTGTCAACCATTTTTGCTACTCTGGTGTTTGGATTGTTTGGTGAAGAAGCTCTCGAAGGCTGCGATGATCGGTGACAACAGTAAATTTCCTACTGAGAGTAAATATTGCCGCCACTTGTGCACTGCTGCAGTAATAGCATACATTTCTCGAGCATAAGTGGAGGCAGATTGGAGTCGAGGGCGAAGTCTCTCATTGTAAAAAGCAATTGGATGATGGGCTTGGGAGAGGATGGCCCCAATGGCCACAGTGGATGCATCTGTCTCGATTGTGAAAGGAATGGTGAAATCAAGAAGTGCCAGTACAGGGATTGTTTCCATAGCAGTTTTGAAAGCGATGAATGCCTCCGTTGTTGCAAGGCTCCATTGGAATTGATTGTGCTTTAGGAGATCAGTCAAAGGAGTGGCAATGGAAGCATAGCCGCGGACAAACTTGAGATAATAGCCGATGAGCCCCAAGAATCCACGAAAAGCCGTGACAAAAGAAGATTGTGACCATGAAATCATGGTGTCAATCTTCTGGGGATTAGCTTTAACACCATCAACTAAGATAAGGTGGTCCAAATATTCATTCTCAAGCTAACCAAAAGAGCACCTGGAGAATTTTGCGTAAAGTTGGTGTTGGTGAAGAACAGAGAACACCGAGTGTAAATGTTGGAGGTGATCAGTCCATGAAGCACTATAAACGAGGATATCATCGAAGAAAACCAAAACATACCTCCACAAAAATGGTCAGAACAGAGAATTCATTGTAGCCTAGAAGGTAGCAGCAGGGGTGTTGGACAACCCGAACGGCATTATGAGAAACTCATAATGACCCTCATGTGTGCGAAATGTGGTTTTGTGAATATCTAGTTCATGGACACAAATTTGAAAATATCCCGAGCGTAAATCGATCTTGGAGAAGTATTTCGCACCATGGAGCTCGTCCAAGAGTTCATCAACAACTGGAATGAGAAAACGATCCTTCACAATCACTACATTGAGAGCACGGTAGTGGACACAAAAACGCCACGATCCATCTTTCTTTTTAACAAGGAGCACCGGCGATGAGAAGGCGTTGGTGCTGTGATGAATAATCTCTGCTTGTAGCATGTCGTGAATCTGCCACTCTATCTCGTCCTTCTAGAAGTGGGGATATCGGTAGGGCCTCACATTAATGGGGGAGGGTGTTAGGTTGTAGGGTAATGTGATGTTCGATGGGGCGAAAGGGGGGTAAGTGATTGGGGGTGGCAAAAACGGTTGCAAATTGTTGAAGAAGGTGGAGAATGTCTAGGATGATGGTCTTCATGGAATTGGGGATTCCATGAAGAGTAATGGGTTCACCATTGAGGCTAAAGGACATCATCAACGCCTTATGGTCGGTGGTAATTGGCCCCAATTTTTCGAGAATCGAGCCATTGAATGCCAAGGACGGCATCAGCACCCAAGATGGAGAGGAGATGAAAGTCAACAGGGAGCGGAGTACCTTGGATGAGCAAGGTGACGGAGGGGCACGTTCCTATGCATTGTAGTTGATCGCCATTACCGACGGTCATTGAGGAGAAAGGGGAGGGGTTGACAGGAAGATGAAGAAACGAGACGACTCGGGGATGTAGGAAGTTATATGTGCTCCCTAAGTCAACAAGGACGGAAATGGGGTGGGAAACGATGAACGCAAGTAAGTGGAGGGTACAGGGTGAATCGTTACCCTGGAGGACGTGAAGTGAGATTTCAGGTGATGGTTGGGAGTTGATGTCGAGGGTAGGTGAAACTGATGAATCAAGGTCGAGGGGATCGGAATCCTCGTCAGGAAGGAGGAGCTGTGGGGTTTTGCACCTATGTCCGAGACAAAATTTTTCATCACAGATGAAGCATAGTCCTTGGGCCCGTCGTGTTTGTTGTTCAGCAAGAGTAAGGAGACGAATGTTGGGTGGTAAGTTCGAAAGTGGAGGTAGAAGGCCCAGTAGTGGTGATTTGGTAGAGGGGGGTAAAGATGAGGTAGCGGGTCGCAGGTTGGTGTTCGGAGATGGAAGGAGAGTGATGGAGGGAGGGGGAGGGAAAGATGGTTGAGGGAGCTGATTGGTTGGGGAGTGAATAACAGGGGCAATGGATAGTTTATCCTCTATTAGTTTTGTAAAAGAGAGGGCGGAGGTCCGGAGTTGATGGTGGAAGGTTTAACGGCTGCAAGCTCCCGTTGGATTTCGGGTTTGAGCCCAGAGATGAAGCAGTTAAGAATTGTTTGAGGGGATAGGCCATCGATGTGATTGCAGATGGTCTCAAAGCGGGATTGGTAATCTAAGACTAAGGAGGTTTGGGTTAGCTTGAACAAAGTGGCCTGGTGATTAACAAAGGAAGATGGCCTGAATCGTTCTTCAATTGTTGTAGTTAGATTGGTCCAATGGATAACTGTTGGTTGTTGTGCATCCATTGAAACCAGCTAAGAGCTTGACCAGTCATGAAGAAAGAGGCAATGTCGATTCGCTGCTCATTTGGGGTATGATGGAAGTTGAAATAGCACTCAGCCTAGAAGATCCAATCATGGGGTTTGGAGCCGTCGAAGTGTGAGATTTCGCAACAGAGGGAACGAATGGAGATGGGGGAGTTGGCAACAGAAGATGAGGAAGTTGACTGAGGAGGAAGAATGATGGTGGGCTTGTCAGGGCGAGGAAGGCAAAGGACCAATTCATTGAGGGTTTGACTGGATGTTGTCGAGTTTGGTATGGTGGTCTGTGTGAGAAGTACATAGTTCTTCAATGGCATCTTCTAACACTTTGTATCTGGTTTGAACATGAGTTGCGACTTGTTCGGCCGTGGAGGCAAAGCATAGAATGATAGCACCAATTGATAGGATTTCGAGAGAATTTTCCCCACTTCGAGCGCGAGGGAAGCTCCAAGAGGAAGACGAGACAGTAAGGCTGTTCACGGGTCGGGTTGGGTCGGTTTACTGATGTTTTTCCAACCGACCCTACCTGGTCGGGTTACCTGAAATTGAAACCAAAACCAACCCTATGTTAAGCAAAACCGACCTGATTGGTTTGAGTCGGTTTGGGTCGGTTTCGGCTCTACTTAGTAGTGACTTAGTTGTTGTTCAAGTGTTCATTTCTGCCTCTACATTCCCAAAGGAAACCAGCATTTCCTTAATGTTTTGTGGCCCATCCATGGATCCAGTTGTGGAGGGAGTAGAGTTTGAGAGTACTATTTGCCAACTGGTGGCCACTTACACTATAGAGATGAGAGATAATATAGTGTAATTAAGTAGGTTGTAACTACTAACTAGGAACTAAGTATTAAGTCGGTTCGGTTCGGGTCAGTTTCGGTTTTCACACATGAAAACCGAAACCAAACCGAATCATTGGTTTATGATTTTTTAAAACCCGAAACCAACCGGTGCTGAAGAAAACCCGGCCGACTCGGGTTGGGTCGGTCCGGGTTGGTCGGTTTGGTCGGGTTGGGTCTTCTTATGAACAGCCCTACGAGACAGAAATGGAAAAGGGTGAATTCTTTTCATTTCCTTTTTCATTCCTACTGTAATGATATATATAGGAAATGCTTAACAGAAAACGGTTATGCCAGAGGTACAATGATCAATATGCATAACTAACTAAAGCTGTTCCCTGAACCGTATGGGTCTGGTAATATTCCTTCGAGGTCGTTGCATCCCTTGTGTCAGAGCACGGTTATCAGGCCGCTGCTGCTCGTGTGAAGGATCACGGGTATCAGGCGAGCTCCCCCTATCAGTAACATTTCCAGTTTTCGGACAAGTTAGAAGCACTTCTTTCAACTCCCTAATAGCTTAAGGACATGTAGATATTGAGACTATTAAGAAGAACAAGCAGATTGAGAAGCAACAGAGTTTCTGTGTGGTTTTCATTTTTTTTTTTTTTGTTGATGATAGCTTTTCATTTCTATTTTTTTCTCTTCCTTCTTTTGGTGGAGGAGGGGAGGGCTCTTACTTTGGACGATGTGAATTGTATAGTCAGAATTTCTTGTACATTGCTAATCAATTAAGTGGAGGATAGTCTTTCGAAGGGAAGATGATCATGAGAAGCTATCTCAGAGGCTCAGAGCCCTCGGAGCAACACATAGACCCAGAGAGGAAGAAACAGGAAAACGTTGTTAACTATTAGGAGCAAAATGGAAAGATCATATGAGCTGTTGCTAGGGGGATTAAAATTTCAACATCTTCAACATAATTCTCCACCATAACTTCCTTGAGACTAACCATAAAAATTTGCTACAGGCACGATTTTCATGTCAAGACTGACTCAAGCTAGGAAGTACACATATATCAAATCCAAAAAGAAGAATGTTTAACCCAAAGAAAAATTAAAAAAGAAAAAGAATCGAACAGCTCATCCAGATCAAAGCTCTAAAAAAAGAAGGTAATTATAATTGTAAGTTAGAAAATTGTGGCAAGGCACATCAATCCGAACAGACTCAAAGATTAAGATCACTAATATCCAAGGCAATCGCAAAACAGAAAAAGAGACCACTTACCAATCAAAATAAAGTCGAGATCAAAAGCATTACCTGACACCAGCATCACCAACGATACCGATTGCCATTCCAGCCGAAAGCCCAGCAAGGCCACAAGCAAGGCCAGATGAAAGGTGTGCATAACCATCAAAAAGGTAATAAGACTTGGCCTTAGGGTTAATTCCAGTACTGATTATAACAGCAATAATCAATCCATAAATACCCAGAACACCAGCCATAACGACGGGAACAATTGACTTCATCACCAGCTCTGGCCTCATAACACCCATGGAGGCCACGCCAACACCACTTTTTGCCGTTCCATAAGCAGCTCCCATACCTGAATCAGCAACAAAACCCTTAGATCTACACCAAAACCCCAGAAAAATATAATTGGAACATTGGGAATCGATAGAAGCAGATAAAGAATCAAAAATTAGGGCTAAGTTTCTGCTTACATGAGAAAACTAGGGCAGCTGCAGCGCCGAGGAAGCCAAAGAACGGAGCAGTTTCATCGCCGCTGAATGTAGAAGACATTTTCGAGATTGAATCTACAGTTACAACTAGCGGATCTACGAAGTGGAGAGATTAGGAATTGCTTCTCTGATTCTCTCTCTCCTTCTCCTTCACGCGCTCCCGCGTCCTAACACTGAAGTAGATTGAAATGATCACATTTATAATTAGAGCTAATCGGGTTCCGGTCTTGGAGAAACGTTTCGACGGTGGATACTAACGCCACGTAATCACATTAATAGACTCTTAAACCTCAATTGATAACAAGGGTGGTGTGGCTGTTCCATCCACCGTAAAAAGGAGCCTTTGCTCTTTATAAAGATGAGCGAAAGTGATGAAAGGACATTTGATGATTTAAATTAAATCGGTTTTATATTATTAAATGAATTAATAATGGGCTTCTTAAGACCTCATCGTGGGCCTACTGTCCGTATTTGATTTCTTAGCCCAATAAGGATATGAAGTATGGTTATGGACCTGTTTTTTTGGTAAATTGATGAAACATCCTTGAAGTTTCTGTCCATTGCTGAAATCTCCTCTTTTATTAACGTTTTTGACAACGTTACAAGTAGACCCCTCCGTTGGAATCAATTAACATTAGTGACAGAATGACGAAATTACCCACATAGTTGACAGCGTCAGACAAAGTTTGTTGTGATACCCATTGAATAGGGGCGCAAGACTGCAAGTAGAGGTGCCCACGGTGGGCCTTTTTTCAAATCGACCGGTGGTACCGGTTTTTGGAAAATCGTAATCAAAACCGTATCGAAGTTGATCGGTTTAGTTCATCGGTTTTTTTATTTTCATAGTATTATATAATAAATATAAAATATGATATTATATTATATTATAAAAAGACTATAAATATATATAAAATATTATATTATAAATAATAAATTATATATTATATATTTAGAATATATAATACATATATATTCATTTATAATATATA